CGGGACCCGGGAAGCGGGACAAGAAGAGGGAGCCCGACCGGGATGAGAAGGTGACGCCGCTGGAGGGCGCCACTCGCTTTGTGGGGGGGAAGATGCTGGCCTACTGCGTGCAAGATGCCACGGTGGTGGACGTGGAGAAGCGGAGGAACCCCTCCAAGCACTACGTGAGTACTGCCCCTACCGACCCCTGCGGGGGGTTGGCCAGAGACCCCCCCCGGCGGACCCCCCCCCGGGGGGCCCCTCGCCCCACCCGCTAAGTCCCGGAGCTGAGTGCCCACAGGGCAGCCCTTGGTTGTGGAGTTTCTTCGCAGGGCTGTGATCTCCAGGGAAGCCTTCTCTGTCCTTTCTCCACTCCCCCCGCCCCCCGTTTTCTTTTTTTGGCATTGGAATTGGCAAGTGGCTGCCCTTGTCTGTTACAACGGTGAAGTCATCTGTCCGCCGGAGCTTTGATGGATGGTGGGGGGAGCTTTCGTCAAACCCTCGCTGAGAAGCTCGGTTGGGAAAGAGCATCTCCCTGGCCCTCCCTGGGGGCTTGAGTCGCTCACGCTGACACGGACCGTGATGCTTTCAGAGGCTCGCCCAGGGGAAGGAAGCCTGGCGCTGTGCTCCCACGTTTGCCCTGGGCTCTGCCTCCCTAGGCCTGGATCTGCGGGCCGAGGGAAGCCGCCGCGCCCCCTGCCCCACCTCCACCCTCAGCCCCGAGCTTTGGTTTCCTTCTTAAAGTCATTGTGTTCGTCGGTGTGAGGAGAATTGTGGCTTTTCCTTTTATCCCTTCTCTGGACGTGACCCTTAACCGGGTTCATTTCCTCTTAAGTGATGCTCCGTCTCCAGACACGAGGAGGCAAATGTTTGCTGTGGTCTCCAAGGAACGGCCGGCTGCCCCTCCCCCTTCCTTCCCCACAATTAATGAGAAGGGGCTAAGGTTGATTGAGCTGAGCTCCGGGGTCTGTGTGACGCGTCCGCCTTTCATCTCAGCCGGTCCTGTCTTCCCATCCTTGGCACCTTAGGAAGTAAACATGGTGTCCTTAATGGCTGAGGACGCCTGTCTGAACCGCTTTGCTCCTGTACTTGAGATAGAAGAGACAGCCAGGCACCCAGAGCAGAAGGACTGCATCTTGTTTGCAAATTAGGCACTTAAAGGAGTATTTAGAATGCTCAAAGCATTAATTTAAACAATTAAAACAGCTTGTAGGTTGCTGCCCTAGACTGCCCATTGATCTCTGAGAAATGCCTTTCATTTCCCTGTTGGAAGAGGGCTGGGGTTTGTGCCAACGTCAGCCTCAGGCTACTCTTTCTGTCTTTATCGCCAATAGCTCTGAACTTTGGGTTTGTTTTTTGTTTTGTTTGTTTTGTTTGTTTGGAGTGGAGTAAATGGGACTGGGCTCAGACTGGAGAGGAGGTAAGCTAAGGAGTCTGGTTCCTGGACCAGACAGAGAGGTGGGTGCCCATGGGAGAGTTGTTCCTTTTGTGATACCTGGCTCAGCAAGCAAGCACCTTCAATTCAAGAAAGCTGCCATTTCAAGAAAGCTCCTTTTGGAGGACTTGGGCCAGTGTGTGGTCACCCTACTCCAGGTACAGATGTCCCTTTGCACATCCCAGCACTTAGTATCAAGTCGGCCTTCCTAACCGTTTTGCTCAAATGTCACAAGCTAAGTTTTAGGGGTTCTGTTTTCTAGTTCTCAGTTAAGCCTGGCCCTATGTTCAACAGATGGCACTCTCTGCTGGGACCCAGGCAGCTGCTTTCTCCCTGCTCTTGATTTTAGGTGAAACTGCACATCTTAGCTCTGACCAGTGATGCCCGAGATTACAAGGTAGGGTACGCTGGCAACAAGCCAGAAATGTTGCTAAAGCAACTGGGAACCCACCACAGACAGTACGGAAAGGTGGTTAGCTGTGGGGCTCTGAGGCAGAGGGTCAGCCACTAGCTAGCTTTGGGACTTTGGGCAGGTTATTTAAGCTCTGCGGGATTCAGGGTTCCTCATTGTTGAGGGGGGGATGATAAGAGTACCTATGTCATAGGGTTGTCTGGAGAATTAAGTGAGATCATCCATGAACAGCACTTAGCACAGTTCCCGGCGTATTAACAGGCACTCACTAAATGGTAGCTTATTGTTGGTGAGATTCTGACTAAGAAAGCACTTTTGGAAAGCAGCTATTAATGGTCTGGCAAGAAAGAAAGAAAGATTTCGGGTTTTAAGATTGACAATAACTTGTTCTATGTGAGAAACACAAAAGAAGTCCTGTCTAATTCCCTTGAAATGATCATTTCCTCCCTTTTTTGGACAGTGTTTCCCAGGACATCTCTGCTTCCCATGTAAGAATCGACATTATGTTTGGGGCAGGGAGTGATGTCACTGAACAGCTGGGGCCATGCAGAGCTCTAAAGTAAGGTTGTGGAAAACAATTAAAGGAGAAAGTGTTACATGTTGTGGAATTGTGGAGCTGGCAGGACTCCTCAGGCTCAACCCCTCATTTTACAGATGGGGAAACTGAAAACCAGAAGGGGTAAAGTCACTTGCAACACAGCTCTTAATAGCACCTGGGTTTGCCTGGCCTTTTGCCCATGGTGTGGGTTTTGTTCATCAAAGTACCCTAAGTCTGGTTGGAGTTGACTAGGTGATCTGGTGGATATCTGGTGATCGTCAGAGGTTCCTACATATTTGGGGCATCAATGGGACATAATATAAGGAGAGGGGGCCCCATAATAGAAAGTGTCAGCAGGGCTCAGAGGGGCAGGAGGAGCAGGTTGGGGGAGCTTGCGCCTCTGAAGCTTAGGATCTCCTCCTCTCTTGGCCCTTGCACGGTGGACGCCACACACCAGAAGGTCAAGTGTTCTGGGTAAGGTACTCTGGTGCACCCAAGTCACAGATGTTCTGGAAGCCCTCTGTGCTGGAGAAGCATGCCCCCTTCCCGCCTCTCCTCCACTGACGGTGAATTCTTAGTCTGTGGTTTGGCAAATTGCAGAGCAGAGAGGTTTTATGGGATGTGCACGTTAGCTGGAGCTGGCTGACGGGAGGCCTGGGGCCCAAGCAGGAGGGGCTCTGCTGGCTCCAGAACACTGGGAACACACTGCGAAGTTTTCCTCAGGACATCCAGCAAAGGGTGTGCTTGTCTCCAGGACGAGGGGCGCTGCCTGAACACCAAGGGTCTGTTTATGAAAGACGGGCAAGTGGCTTCTATCATTTGGATGGTGCTGTCAGCCCTTGCTTCCTTCCTCTCTGCCGAGCCCCTGCTTGGGTGGGGCTTGGGGAAAGTGGGCACCTGCTGCTTAGGCCAGGCTTCCTGGCCTGGAGTTGGGTTCCTCTCTTAGCTCTTACGAGCTGCGCCTGGCTGGGGAGACCTTAGGTAAAGTGGCTTTGGCCTCAGGCTACTTGTCTTTCAAATGGTCCTGAAATGCTGGATGCGACCTGCAGATAACTTCATTTCAAAGCCTTCCATAAGGCTCCTAGCGCAGGTTTACCATAATTCTTTGCACTCACACGCGTGTGTGGGCGTCTGTCGAGTCCTTCGGTGGTGGAGAGAAGTTCGTTTCTCTAGAACAAACAGATTGTTTGTTTGGATTTGGGAGGCATTGTGCTTTTAGAGTGGTTTCCTTTCCTGATTATTTCAGACAAGTATCAGTCATGAATGTTCTGATCCTCTCCAGGACTCTTTAGGGAATGTAAATAATAGCCAGTGTTAGTAGTTGGTGCGTTGGTGGTGGCACGTGCTTAACATGTGTGATTTCGTGGATTGTGACAGTTCATTGAATGTACCCTAATGCACCCTAACCCAGGGTAGGTTCTGTGAGTTCTTTAGACAGTTGGGTGAACTTGGAGAGGTTGGAGATTGCCCAGAGTCTCCCAGTTAGGACAAGGCAGATCTTCGTAAACTCAGGTTAGCTTGCCTCCCAAGGAGGATATGAATCTAAAACGGGGCCCTTTCATCAACTTGAGTCAGGGTGGGGAGGCCAGGCTCAGGCTTGCTTGTCCTCGCGAGAGCAGTGCGGGGTGTCCTGGAGGACCGCCTCACTGTATGGGATGTTCACCTCATACTACGGAGGTGAGTTTGTGAAGGCAGTGGAGGGCGAGCACGGTGAGGCGGGGAGAACGGAGCAGATCCAGGATGATGGCTGGTCCCCGCTATTACGGGAGGTGATAATTTAAGAATCAACACTGTGGAAATAGTACATTCTCCTGTGTGTTTAGATCATCGAAGAATTTGGTCTTGGTCCTGGGAGTACATTTTTAGGAATTGGCTCCAGACCCATTCATTTCTCTGCCCTTCAGTTTTTCTCTGAGCCCTTAGAGTGTGGATCCAGCATTACGGAGGAAGGACATGCAGCTGCAGAAAGGGCCTTGTCGGGGCCGGTTCCATTCCCGAACGAGTATTGTGGGGCAGATCAGGGTTCGAATCCAGCCTCTGGCCCTTCCTGGCTGTGCCACCCTGGGGCCGGCCACTTTGGGCCTCAGTTTCCTGACTCGTAACCTCACAGGACTTTTGGAAAATTGAGATAATTTCAGGTAGAGTGTTCTACTTAGTACCTGGCCCCTATCAAGCACGTTCAGGGTACACTAGTTTCCATCTGCTGTTCCTTCCATCTGGCGATCACCAGAACGCTAGAGTTCGCTTAGGACCTGGTAGGTGAAGCTGAGAGAAAAGGAAAGGCTGAGGCGAAAAGGAAGGACCAGCTGCTCATAGTGGGATGGGAAATTGGGCGACATGCCCCGTGGAAAACACCCAACACACAAGAGAAACAGATAAACAAGGAACAGCTGTTCAGACCTGGAGGGCTTCCTGGAGCCGATCTAGTGGGGCCTGCCTGGTAAGCTGGGCAGGAGAAGGGAAGGGACTTGGGTTGAGGGAGAGGAGTAAAGAGGTGGTTCAGTAAGGGCAAGGTCACAACAGGACGCTAGCCCCAAGGTCAGTGCCACACATGGGTTAGCACTCCTGCCTGCTCTCTTTTTCTCTTTGTCTCTCTCTGTCTCTCCCTCTGACACACACACACGCACAAGAAAAGTTTCTTCTCCTTCCAAGGAGGCAAGTGATCCAGGGGTGATTCACAGGTCTGACAAAGCTTCCTGCTCATGGAAAACCAACCACATCCTACTGGCCGTTGGAACAGGGAGCACAACCAGCCATGTATCACGACTCTTTTGGGAGCTGAGTGAGGGTTTGGGGGGGA